TAGTTTATGGCTGGGGCTGGGTTTGAACCCACTACCTCTGGCATATGGGGCCGGCGCCCGCACCCTACTCTTTGAGCCACAGGCCCTGCCCCTGAATACCTTTCCTATGTTTAATATTCACTTAAATAACCTTTTGAGTAAAGCACCTGTTCAGATCTCTTGCACATATTAAAATATTAGACTGTCTTTTTCCTATCTCTTGATGGAAGTTCTTTATAAATTTTGAGTATGAATACTTGGTCCCTTTCTGTATCACCTGTATTGTAAATATCCTTTTCTCATTCCATAATTTTCTGTTTACACTTTTAAAAATATGTCTTTTGATAAACAGAAGGCTTAATTTTTTGGGTGGAGACCACGTTATTCATATTTTTCATTAGGGTTGGTACCTATGAAACTGCTGGAAAAAAATAAAATAACCCTCTGCTTATCCCAAACTGGTGACTTTATTCACCCCTGTGATCTCCTGTCAACGTAATTGTTTGCTTATCTCTCGGAGACTACTTGATTTTTGTGTGCAGCATGCAACAAAGTCAACATGGATTTTTTTCTGTGTGCTTATGTGGATAGTTCATTTGTGAAGTGGCTGCAGTATTTTCTCTCTTGTGTTCACGCCTTCCATGGCTGTGCATCTTGGGTTCTCACCAGCCGTCAGTGGGAATTCCTGTTTGCCCAGTTATCATGGCATGTGACGTTGTCAGCGTTTAGGATTTCAGCAATTTTAAGAGGTGTGCTGTAATATCTTACTGATGTTTTCTGTAACTCCCTGATGACACGTGGCATTGATTGAGCATGTCTGTATATGTTTATTTGCCATCTGTAGACATTCTCTGGTGGTGTTCAGATTTGTTGCCCATTTTTGTTTGTTTTTTTACTGTCTAACTTTAAGTGTCATTTATACATTTACGTAGCAGCCCTTTGTCATATTTGTCTTTTACAAATATTTTCTCCTAGTATGTGTCTGGTCTTCTCATTTTCTGGCAGCGTCTTCACAGAGCAGACGTTGTTAATTTTAATGACGTCCAGCTTAACAATTATTTCTCTTATGGAAATAATTCTCTGGCATCTTCGGTGTCCTGTCTATAAAAGTCATCACCATACCCAGGGTCCCCTCACTTTTCTTCTATGTTACTTTCCAGGAGTTTTATAATTTTTAATATATATTTATATGTAAATATATAGTTATATATAAGATTTTTTTATTTTATATATTTTATATGTTTTTAATATCTGTTTGGATCTACAATCCATTTTGAGTTAATTTTTGTGAAAAGTATAAGGACTGTGTTTAGATTTATTTTTATTGTAGATTATATCTATGGATTTCATTTCAGGGATGCTAACATAGATGATATTATGTTTTTAATTTGAAATTAATTCCACTTGTTCATTGCTAGTCTATAAAAAAAGTTGGCTTTTCATATTGACCTTTTATCCTACAACTTTAAAAACAAGTTCTAGGGGATTTTTGGTTGATTCTTCTAAATTTCCACATGGACAATCACATCATCTGTGAACAAAGGCAATTTTATTCATTATTTTCCAGTCTGTACCTTTTGTTTCTGTACACGTGTGTATGTGGTGTGTGTTCTGCACACGCATGTGTGTGGTGTGTCTTACTTCTGCACGTGTGTATGGTGTGTCTTCTGCACATGCGTGTGTGTGGTGTGTCTTCTGCACATACGTGTGTGTGGTGTGTCTTACTTCTGCACATGCGTGTGTGGTGTGTCTTCACACGTGTGTGTGGTGTGTCTTCTGCACACATGTGTGTGTGGTGTGTCTTATTTCTGTATAATGTGTGTGGTATGTCTTACTTCTGCACACGCATGTGTGGTGTGTCTTACTTCTGCACACGCGTGTGTGGTGTGTCTTATTTCTGTATGTGTGTGGTGTGTCTTCTGCACGTGCGTGTGTGTGGTGTGTCTTACTTCTGCACACGCGTGTGTGGTGTGTCTTACTTCTGCACACGTGTGTGTGGTGTGTCTTATTTCTGTACAATATGTGTGTGGTGTGTCTTTCTTCTGCACACGCATGTGTGGTGTGTCTTATTTCTGTACAATGTGTGTGTGGTGTATCTTTCTTCTGCACACACATGTGTGTGGTGTGTCTTACTTCTGCACACAC